CTGACAGTCTATCAAATTAAAAATTAATAAGTTTTATTTTAGATGATCAATTATTTTTTAAACTACTTTGTTGTGTGTGTGTGTGTGTGTGTGTGTGTGTTCATATCTTGTAGTTTTATTCAGGGAGTTTTACCACCTTGGCAATCACTCTATCAATGAGTGGTATACCCACACCTATTGTACTTGGAGATTGGGTCACTCTAAAGTGTTCAGGGTGTCCTGAATCATGCCATTCACCCAACTCAGCCTCCTAAGAAGCTGTATTTAGGTGGAACCAACTGTATCCAGCAAATATTTACTACTTTTTGGAATGCTTTTATTAAACCAAAACTTCAAAACTAATCCGGGAAAAACTAGATGTCAACAGGTTTAATGCATAACTCAAAGAATTATCAACTCCAGATAAATTAAAAGTTCCCAGAAATACTTTAAAAAGCAGCAAAATATCAAAATTCACAGTTTGCTATTTTCTCCTCATAATAATAACTTTTCAACAACCACTCTTCATCAATATTGTTTTCTTAATGACTGATACTTTTCACACCTTTGCCAATGAATACCTTTATATCTAAAATGTTTTTTCCACTATTCTGACAAATTGGATTTTCTTCTTTTAGAAGTTAATCTATTTGTTCAGTCCTTTAGGACTATGGCTATTCTTCCTGATACAAAGTGTTTTCCCCTGCCTTGGGGCTACCTTAGCAATCCAACAACTATTCTACTTAGGACATACAAATTGACCTGTGCAATTACCTATATAAATCTAATCCATTTGCTCCTAGATTATTGGGGATGTTTTTATATCACCTTGGTGTCAACAGTCTTATCTATTTGAACTCATAACTAATAAGTTCTTGGTAAGAAGTAGTGGAAGAAAAAGGTGGCTTTTCTGGAGGTTGGGTTGAAGAGAGACTTAAGGAGTGAGATTATCAACCAGAGGCAGGAAATGGTAAGAATATAGAAGGTTTAAATGGGTCAGTATTTGTATGACCACATAGGGATGGGTGAGGAGTAATGACAGAGGACAGCACAGGCAGGGGAAGGGATAAAGATACACAGTTGAGCAGAATTTTTATCATAGTAGATTCCCAAGAAATTTAGGATGGTTGGACATCCACATTCTAAAGAAGGTCGTATATCTAACTAGACCAATCTCAATGCTGTGGGCAGGTAGACATGAAGGGTCTGTGCATGAATAGAGATGATTTCAAGGGATAATGGAAGCTTTAACCTTAGCATTAATGACTGGTAATGTGAAATTAAATTAACGAGAAGGCAACAGTGTAGTGTGAAGTTCATGCAGGCATGAATGAAGGGAATGTTTCCAAAAATACAGAGAATAGAAAAGTTTCAGTATCCTGTGTAGAATGAAGTTTAATAAAATGAACAAAGTTTAAAAAGCTGGGGCAGCTGAAATGCATTCTCTCAGTTTCCTTTTCATTACAGTCAAAGTTACCTAGCTTATTTCCCCTTCCCTTTAGATTTTCAAAAAGAATTTTCTAGAGTTTGGTCTTGAGTCATTTCCTTTTACATTCTTGGTTTGTATTATTCCTACTACTATTTCTTTCCCATTCAGCAACTGTATCTTAAAATATACATATCAAGATTTAACCCAGCAGTGCTATATGACTAAGCCTCATCCTTAGCACTATTTATTTATCTATTTTTGAGACAAGTTCTTGCTAAATTGCTATGGCTTCACTAATTTGCTGAGGCTGGCCTTCAACTTGCAATCCTCCTGCATCAGCTTCTGGATTCATTGGGATTATAGGTGTGTCCCCATACACGGATGGAAATATAATTGTTATAACTTCCTCTTTTTTTCCTTTTCCTTTGCCCAGAGACATGCTGGGAATAATAACTACATTTATGCTTTCACTGTATCTTGTTATATCTGAACTAACATGCAGTGGCTCTTCATTTTAGACTTCCTAAAGGATAGGTCATTCCCTTGCAACTCAGAATGTAGTGTGTGGGTAAAGAACATTGGAACCATCTTTAAATGTTTTAGAAATGTAAGCAAAGACCTGTTGAGTGAGAATGTGCATTTTGAATATGGTCCCCAACATATGATTTGCTAGAATTTGAGCATTCTTGGGTGTAATTAATCTTCTACCAATTCCTCTAACTTAACTTGCCTCTTTGAAATCCTCCTATTTTGTTCCCCAAATTGTAGGTGTATTAGCATTCATAATCTTTCCAATGAACATCTTATCAGGTTATACTTTGCTGATCATTTCATGATATATCCCACCCTTTGTATTTCCAGAGTATATTATTCTTTACCATAATTACTTTCCTAGGAAGTAACTATGGCATACATTTACTTATGGCAAACCAAATGTAGCTCTTAATGATCTGGCATTCATTCCTTCATTACTTTCCAATATTGATTAAGAAAACAGCTGTTGGAAAATTTTACTGTATCTCTCAAAACAGTTTTGGTACTAAAAACTCACAAATTTTTCTAATGCTCTGCTCTTCTACTTTCTAATGTTTAATCTGAATTTACCTACCTTCACAATGTGCACTTACTTCTTTTTCGTTTTCTTTTTTGTTGTTGTCTGTGATCTTCAACTTTCTTATTCTTCATGCTCTCTTCTCCCCACCCCTTCTTTATTTCCAAACTATCCTCTGATCTAAACAGGTCTCGAAATGGAATTCAACTCCACTAGAGACACTTTATATTTAATCTGTTGCAAAAACTTAATAACATATACTACGTATTACCATTTCACTTTTTTTCTTACTACATACTTATTAAGTTCATTTCTTCAACTAATTGAATCTATTAGTGTCCATATTTTAAATGAAGATCATAGCCAATGTTATTTTACAGTACATGGTTCTTACCTTCTATATGTCTAGTTATACCCCAGTCTGCTCTTTGATATGCATCATCAGATAAAAGACCAGTGCATTTCTGAGGAGGACTCAGAGACATATCCTGGCAAAAAGAATATCAATAATGAGTTGCATAAAGATTTCCTAATAACTAAGGTGACACCCAATTTTCCAGTTTGAAATACATTAGATTTAAAAAATAGAGAATTACACATTGAAAACTGACACATTTTATACCATAAGCTCATATATCCTCTGCAAATAGGGAAAATTTTACCTTCCTTTGGCTACTGAGCTTTTTTCAGGTTGAAATACATTAGATTTAAAAAATAGAGAATTACACATTGAAAACTGACACATTTTATACCATAAGCTCATATATCCTCTGCAAATAGGGAAAATTTTTCCACCCACTTCCTTTGCTCTATCAGTACATAACTAAAAGTTATACATAATTTTAGTACATAATTTTTCGTTGTAGATGGACATAATACTTTCATTTTATTTATTTATTTTTTTATGTGGTGCTGTGGATCAAATGCAGTGCCTCATATGTGCTAGGCAAGTGCTTCAGGACTGCATAACCATCCCAGCCCTCTCATTCTGTCTTATCTTCTGGTAACAACCAAATTCTATTGTTCTCACTCCCTCTCTCCCAATACCTTTGTTCTTCAATTTTCCTTATCTTCTTCTAAACATTACTGCCAAATATCTTCTGCACTCTCTCTTTTCACTTTCTTATAAATCTTAACTAACTTTGTAAGACATTTCTTTTTTTCTACTTAATTGCATTTTTAACATTGTAGCTCCTGCCCCCCCCCACCTTTAATGCTAATACAATCATTAGTATTGTAGGTTATATGACTGACACCTGCTATTGGCTTTAAAGCCACAGCTAGTTCATGGATATTTTTTATAATTTGACAATTGCTAAATTCACTACTCCTCTTTATGGCTACATTAATGTTGAGACATCAGAGCAGGATCTAGGTATTAATGTTAACTCTGTGGTATATTATTTGGAACAGTTATCACTACTGTTTCTTTGAACCCTATTCTGTGATGTGTTGAGAAGCCACAGGGACACTAAGAATTCACAGGTTAAAAAATGTACTGCTGAACTAAACATTCCCTGACATTACTTTAACCCAAAGAAGTGAGGAGATAAATCCCCTGAACTATCAACAAGAATCCAAGGAGGAACAAAAGAGAGGAAAATCGGGGCCCATGCACATAAGTTTGTCAAAGTAAACAAAGTACCATGTATAATTATAAAACTATAATAATGATTTTAAAAGAAAGAAAATTGCCCATTTCTAAATTCTAAAATTTAATCCCATTTCAAAGATTTTTATAGTTTGTTATACAATCCAAATTATTTTTAATTGATAAAAATACCAAGAAAAGTATGAATTCTTTATAAAAATATACTATAATACAAGAGTTGTATATTTATTTATTGAGGAAAATAGATCATCTGAGCGAATGCTACATTTTGCCAGCCGCAAACTAGAGAACACTCATCTATGCTATTAGGAGGCACTCTCTGTCCACCCACCACACAGTAACATGGCTCAAAGGGGACCTCATTTGGTTCTTAAAAGAAGCTTGGATTCCAGATTTCTGCATCAGTCATCTTAATTTTAAATATGGACACAATGCTTAGATGTAAATTAAATAAATTCATGAGATAAAAATGATGAAGAAGATGGACAGAAATTTCAACAACTATTACTATTCTGATCAATAAAACCCTGCTTAAAAATCCACATTTGTTGAAAAATGTCACACTTAAAACAAACATATTTTAAATATTTTGGAAATAATCATCTTTGGTGTATACCATAGTTCTGGCTTCTATATTTGCATTGAGTGAAAGCAGTTTTTCTGCTAGTGATGTTTTCTTCAGAGAAAGAGCAAAGTGAAGAGGAGTTTCATTTTGGTTGTTGTGAGCATTTGGATCAGCACCATTTTCTAGAAGGATAGTTGCACATTTCTCTTCCAGGTATTGTAGGGCTTGTTGGGTTTATACCAAGAAATAAACTGTAAATTTTGACAATCCAAGAAAAACATTTCGTATGTTTTACTAATTAATCATATTAAATATAATTAATCAATTTTTCTTCTAAGCATTTCTATCATTTTTTTTTCTGCAGATATCCTTGGCTACATCTACCTTCATCAATGGTGTGTTGCCATCACAGTCACAGAGGTAAACATTACATTTTTTCTTCACTAAAAAAGCCACCAATTCTGGGTGGCCAAAGGCACAGGCATAATGTAGAGCAGTACTATGAAGGCAAGAGGCTTTGTTAGAAGTTCATAAAGCATCCTCTCAAAATACATGATTATTTATTCAATTATCAACATTAAATAGTATGCAAGTCCTCTACTATTTTCTAAAGAAAGAACAATATTTACTAGCTGTTAGTACACACTAAGTTAATAAATGAGCAGCCTATTCTGTTGATTTTTTCTTTTGTCTTTTTTGGATACTGCTAGGGACTGAAGCCAGGAGCACTCAATCCGGGAGCAATATCCTAAGCCCATTTTTATTATTATGATTTTTTTTTAAAATTTTGAGGCAGAGTCTCCATAAGTTGCCCAGGCAATCATTGAACTTGCAATGCTTCTGCTTCATTCTCCCAAGTATCTAGAAATATAGGCATGAGCTACTGGGTCTGGTCCCATTGATCTTTTATTATTTATTTATTTATTTATTTGGTGCTGGCATAGAAACCAGGACCTGGAGCCTCCTAGATAAAGTCTCTATCATGGAGCTATATTTCATCCCAGAGTGTCCTACTTGCCTAGAAAGAGCATAGACCTTGAATTTAGCTCAACATTTGCTTGAATTCTACTTTAACCTTTGTGACATGCTATTTAGTTCCCCTATCCATCAATTTTATCTCCAATAAAATACTGATTAAAATTAGTAGTTACCTACTGGGATGATAGCGTGATGCTTAAAATTAAAATCTATGTAAAATGTTTGAACAGTTTCTAGCACAATCAACAGCTCAATAATTGTTGGCTATTGTAATTATTACCATTACTACAAATCAACAGAGTATTTCACTTAATGAAGAAGTACTATTATAGTGATTTAACAAATATCTTGTAGGGACTATGTATTTCAATGACTCTTAGATGCTCTTTTTTTCTATCATTTTGACATCACTGACATTGGAAAGCCACTATATGTATAATGGCAGCATTCAATTTTCTTATTCATACATGAAATAAAGGACCATCACACAGCATCTTACCTTAAGTGAAATGTGATACACACAAGAGGTCTACAGTGGTTATAGTCATATGAGTGGCATTTAAATTAATTTTAGTTGTTAAAAATACTATAGGTAAGGAGAGATGAATGATAAAACAATAATAAAAGACCAAATTAAAACCATAGTAATCCTTGCTTTTCTTTTTTTAAAGTAATTTAAAGCTAAAGGAAATGTAGGACTCAAATGAATTAGCATGGCTCAATCTATTCAATATTTAGATTTACAGGATATACATAAATCAGGTATTTCCAATGTTCAGTTTTTAACACTGTCTTAACTTTTAAAATGGGCAGTTTATAATTTCCTACCACCAGAGTGCTTCTGTTTGAAATGGAAGAGGAAAAGTTTTACTTGAAATTGAGTCCTATCTCTGAAGTTTTAAATTTCTGATCAATCAAACATAAAGCTTTTAAGGAAGAGTCTTAAGAGTCATTATGTCAATTACATCCAGGTATTCAGAGTATGGGTATAAATGAATAAAATAAAAGAACAGATAAGTATACTTGAGTTCAGTTTTTTAAAGCAAAAATTATGAAGGAAAGCAATAATTTGGCAGTAGTAATAATCTTTATTACTTGTTCTCTTTCTTATCAGCATGCCACTAAAACAGAATTAGTAACCTATAATTGCATGTATGTATTAAAACATATCTATAAGAAATGTAATAATATCTGTAAGCACAGATGAAAAGTTCCCCTTTGCTTCTACATAGAAATGTACTAGAAGAAAACACAAATGCCTCTTTATACATTTTATATTGGCAAGAACTTTCCTAAGAAAGAAAGAACTGAAAAGAAGACTTCCTTTTTTTCCTACCTCTTTTAAAAATCTTTTATTTATTTATTTATTTAATTCTGGTGCTGCGGATTGAATGCATGGCCTTGAGTTTGCTAAAGCCAAAATGACTTATATTTGACAAAGTACTCTTTTTCCAGATGCTCAAGAAACATATGAACATAGGAAAAAAATATTTGTGCTTCTGGTAAGAGAAGGAATTTAATTTAACAAGAAATGAAATATATTTCAGAGCTACAAAATTTTGAGGATGCAGAGAAGTTGTACTTACTCTGCAGCTTAAGGTTCAGCTACTTAAGACTCACTCCTCAAATAAATGATTTGATGGTAAGTTCTGTGCAACATTTAGAAAGTATATGTTTCTACCCACCTATTCTAGTATACTAAATATACTTTCAGTTATTTTCATGTTTTGTATTTTATCCTGATGTACTCACTTATATTTTGGCTGTTGGCAAAGAAGTAATTCATAAAAGTTTACAATGTATTTTGATACCCAGATTGGCAAGACTTTGTCTACTACATAAACATTTTTGTAGTGTGTCATGATCTTAAATACTGCATGCAGGTGGGACTCAAAAATGTTATAACCCTGATATTTTAATTAATTTTTTACTTTAAAATTTTTGTGAAATTGGTAACCATAGAAAGAGCTCACACATTGCAGACAATGAATATTCCTTTTCACAAACACTGTCACCAGGGCACAGACCTACTATGGATAGCCTTTGTCCCTTGAGAACAAGGCAGAGCAAGGGACATTAGGGGAGAAGCAGGCAGCTTGTGCAGCCTGGGAACCTTCTGTTTGCTGCTTTCTTGTTCTTCTGACTGAAGGCCTGCACTGCCTGATCCTGTGGACCAATGCTCTGCTCTCTCTGTTTAAATAAACAAATAAACACTAAGAGATAACTACAGAAAGTATATTGGAACAGGGGAATCAACAATTTTGTGCAGAAAGCTTTGGGCACATTTTTTTTTTTTTTAAGTGTAATCTGCCTGAAGTGTACAAAATTAGAAAAGCAACATGTGTTTGATGCTTGGAAAGTGGGAAAGCTGCCAGTGAACTCTATTGTCTGCTCTCTTGAAAAGTAACTTAACTGAATGGAATATTTGCAAAAAATTCAGGGCTATTCAACAAGCCTTGTTATGAAGTTGGTTGGCTAATGAAGATGACATCAAGTTATCCTTTAGAATTTGATGAACTAGTGAGTTAAGCATGTGAGAAACAAATAATATCTAGTGAGGAGTGAAAGTGTTCCTCCTAAATGTACTAGTGTGAATTAAGGTTAAAAAACAAAAGAACAACAACAAACGTGGAGCCATGTTCTTAATTCAAACAGTTCTAATAAAGGTTCCTCAGTAGACAACAGGTAGTGGGTTATATTTGAAGAATTTTTTTAGCCCTCTTGTTGCTATATTATGAGTAATATTTTTTTCTCATTATGTACTTTTCTGCAATGTATGTGACCTATTGTGAAAGTGTGTACATTAACAATAAACTGCTGTATGTACTTAATCGTTAAACAATTAGTTTGACAATTTGGAATTATATGACCCTGGGAAACCAGCTACAGATTTGTTTTTGTTTTACAACTCATTAAGTCTGCCTGGGTGCTAGACCTCCAAGGTTTGCAGGTGCCTGGTACAGAAGCTCCATGGGGGTATGAAAGTCAAGTATCCTGTTGAAAGAAGGGTCGTTCTCCCTCCTGCTCTGCCCCCATGGGCACAGCTTCAATAGTGAAGACCCATTACCCTGCTTCCCCCAGTTGGCCCCTTGTCCTTCAGCCCCTGACTTCCCAGATCCCATACCTGTTCTTTCTGTCCGTGTCATCAACGTGACTTCCACGAGCTAGGAAATATTTCACTCGAGGTAAGTCACCATTTCTGACAGCCTCCTGAAATTTGTAAATCTTATTTTCCAAGTGGTAGGCAACAATGTTCCTCAATTTTCCTCCAGGCCGAGGTCATTGTGAGACATTGGATACTGGCTCCCCTTGGGGGATTCCTCTGCCTCCAACTCGGATTCTTTGAACTAAAGAGTAGCTGAACTAAATCGCTGTAAAGCTCCCAAAAGTATAGCCGCTGCAAGATTAGTATCTCTCCATGGAAAAATAGCCGTTGCCAGGCAACATCCATAAACAGAACTGTTTATGGGGGGCATGGCCTCTTGTTGGATAGAATCAGCTAGGCCAGCAGTGATTGGCTCCTGGCAGACTCACCACCTACTAGTCAGCTATTGGCTCTTCTGTCCAGTAGTAGATGGAAGTGTAGGATATGCAGTATTATAGGTGGCGCTAGAGGGGAAGTAAAAGTGGTTGCCTCAGGCCCAATACATCCCAATATTGGTGGGGGAAGGAAAGTCTCACCTTGACATCACAGCTTGCTGCTGCTGCTGCGTAGCAGCAGCAGAGATAGAGCTGGATGAAATTTAAGCCTCATGGTGCCAAAACAAAACTTACTGAGCATGGTGCAAGGAGAAGACCTACCTGAGCTTATGGAAGGACAATCTGTGGCATGTAGATTAACTTCCTCCAAGGCCACCTTGCTGCACTCAACATTCATGGCAGGCCACCTGGAGTCCCCAAGACCCAGGGGCCAGTCTGCAGTTTAGAGAGGGTAGAGTGATGTTTGGGCTCACTCTCTTTGGGGGTATGCTCTGGCAAAGCTCTTCTTTGGAGTCCCTGGGTTCTAGCGTCCTAGGCAGCCCAAAGTCATGGCTTGAGATTTTCCACCATGTTGCATGCCCTGTAGTATGCCAGGAAGTACCCTGCCTGAGCTGGAGCACACACCCACAGGCTAAGAATGAGATTCTGACAGTTCAGCTGTCCCTGTGTTACTGGAGATACCCCCTCCAAGACAGCTGCCCTTTCCAAGCTGTAGTTGTTTACCTCCATGAAGGATGAGGACACTGGGATGAGGCTCCAGGTGATGGCTCAAAGTCTGAACTTGTCCAGGGCACCTGCTCTGCAGCCTTCCAGACACCAGAGGCTGACGACTGGGTAGATCAGAACATCAGGATGCTGAATGCCTGGTCTCCAAGAAAACTAGCTTAACACAGTCTCCTCAAATATATATATCCCTCCCACATCCACCTGGTTCCTAGCATGGCTCTAGGGGAATTTAGCACATGCAGTAACAGAGACACAAACTTTTGAGGAAAAGCCAGTAAATTCGCCAGATATAATAAAAAGCATTTCTGCTTGCCCCCTGCCCCTTCCCTTTGGACTAGCTTTCTTTATATGCTTTCTTTTCTTCAATTAAATTTCCCATTTTAAATCTGTAATCAGTCCATGATTTATTGTGGATCATGGTGGCAAGGTGTAAAGCTTAGGAAAGACTTTTTTTCCCACTAATATTTATTTATTTATGAGGGAGGAAGATGGAGGGCTAGAGGGAGGCAACATCCTGGATCGCTCTGTGATCCAGATCTCACCTAGTCAGAATACTGCATCTCTGAGAGTGTTAGAAGACCCCTACACACCTGCTCTCTGCAGAAATCACCAGCACTGTGACCCTGCACAGGGTTCTGGACCTCAGTTTTAGAGCAGGACACCCAGCATTTGAGCAGGACCCAAAGCCCAAAGTTCTAGCCAAAGCAGGGTTCATGAGCACCTTAACAGAATCACCTATGAACACATCTGCAGATCTCCAAGACTTTGCTCTACTCCCATGCTGGTCACTCAGCTGCTACCCACCCACAGCACAATGCCATCGTCCAGCTTCCCCCACCTCACCAGACACCCTGGCACTGAAAGAAGACTGCCTCCATCTTGGCTCAACAGTCTCACCATATTAGGTGGGGGAAGCTCCCAGATCAGATCTTCAGCAGCCAGGTACCAAAATCCCAACCTTCCCCCCTCTTCAGCATTGTTAACCCAACACAGTAGCTGCCCAACACAGGTGTGCAGTGTGACCAGGGAGCTTCCCACGGGAGCCCCTGTGTGAGAGGTTCCTCAATTGAGAACTGCTAAGGGAGAAAGGACGAAAGTTTGGAGCCTAACAGAGAGACCAGGAACTGGGGAATCTCCAGGCAAGATACGGAGATAGTACCAGGTGCTCAAGTCATAGAAGTCACCCCCCAAAAGAGATTCATGAGGTGCAGTCTCCCTGCAGGGACTGGCAGGTGCTATGCCCTGCTTCCAGAATCACTGCACCAGGACCAATCTTTTCACCCTGGTTACCTCCACCCTCCTGAGGGCAGAGACATCAGCTTACAACAGACAACACCTTCTATTGGATGAGAAGAGAAGCAGGAAAGATACAGATCTCTAAAACTAGCAACAACCTCAGTTTCTTCCTTTGAGATATTTTCCCCTCTTCTACTCCTCTATTCTCCAGCCCTCACATCTGCAACATATGTGAAAACAAGAACTTTGCATGAAATAGGACTTAGAGGACTGAGTCATCTGAATAATATAGAGTTGTTGTATCTGCTCTTTTTTTCCTTTTCTTTTCCTTTTTCTTCTTTCATTTTTCTTTCCCCTTCCATAACTTGCTATTTTAACATGTGCATTTTTCTAAATATATATGTGTGTGGGTTTTATGTACTCTACTGTCTTCCCAAGTACTTGTCTACCCTAAATTACTTCCTGTCTATTCCTTTGCTACTAACCCTCTCCATTAGATTTCTTCTTTACACTACCTAAGGTATATTAACTCTATATCCTCACATCCTACTTCCTCAGGATATCATCTTATACTCCACTCCCAGTTCATTGTCCACCATCAGAAACAGTAAACCTTTTTACAAAACTACTGATTATATTTTAGATAATAATTGAATCCAACATTTCTGTACATTGAGACTAAACTGTAAACGTCTTAATAACAACAAGTTGTTCATAGGTGGTATATTGTTGATATTGGGTTCTGTTAACATTGTCCTTCCCCACAAAGGAAAAGACCCCCACAAAGGAAAGGTCTTGTAACCCTACAAGAGCACTACAAACCTATAGGGTAAAACCAATAATACTCCAGACCCACAGAGATGAAAAGGAAGACACATAAGCAACTTGAAAAGAAAAAGAAAGAAAATGCCCCAAATAAATCAAGACACCACATCATTAGAATCATTGGCAGTCACATCAGAAGAAATTACAGATAAGGAATTCAGGGTGTACATGGTTATAATGTTCTGTGAACTCAAGGAAGATATAAGAGAGCAAATACAGGCAGTGAAAGATCACTTTGACAAAAAGCTACATAAACAAACACAGGAAGCAAAAGATCATCTCAACAGGGAGATAGAGGTTCTAAAACAAAACAAAACAAAAAAAAACCCGCAACAATAACCAAAAAAAAAATCCAGAAACAATAAACCAAAATGAAAGCTCAAATTAAAGTATCACCAACAGAATAGACCACTTGGAAGATAGGACATCAGACAATGAAAGCAAAATATATAATCTTGAAAAGAACAGAGGCCACACAGTGATAATGATAAGAAACCATGAGCAGAACAGTCAAGAAATGTTGGATAGCATAAAAAGACCAAATTTAAGAGTTATTGGGATAGAAGAAGGCATAGAGGTCCACATCAAAGGAATGAACAATCTATTCAATGAAATAATATCAGAAAACTTTCCAAACATGAAGAATGAATTGAAAATCCAAATTCAAGAAGGCTACAGGGTGTCAAATATAAAAAGTCACATCAGATCCACACCACGGCACATAATAATGAAAACGCCCAATATACAGAATAAAGAGAGAATTTTAAAAGCCACAAGAGAAAGAAATTAGATTACATATAGGAGAAAACCAATTAGGATAACAGCAGATTTTTCAACATAAACCCTGAAAGCTAGAAGATCCTGGTACAATATATATCAAGCTCTGAAAGTAAATGGGTGCCAATTGAGAATCTTGTATCCAGCAAAATTAAGCTTTAGACTTGAAAATAAAATAAAAACCTTCCATGATAAATAAAAGTTAAAAGAATTTATAGCTAGAATACTGGCACTGCAAAACATCCTTGGAAAAATATTCCATGAATAGGAAGTGAAAAACAACAATGAAAATCATCAGAGGGTGGTAGTAGTACCCTGAAGGAAAAACTAATCAAAGAAGAAAATCAAGTCAAATTAAATAACAAAAATAATCAAATATGGCTGGGAATACAAACCAGGTCTCAATAATAACCCTAAATATTAATGGCTTAAACTCACCAATCAAAAGACATAGGCTAGCAGATTGGATTAAAAAACAAGATCCAACAATATGCTGCCTCCAGGAGACTCATAGGAAAAGACATACACAGACCAAAGGTGAAAGGTTGGGAAAAATCATACCACTCACATGGACTTCAGAAGCAAGCAGGGGTTTCTACCCTCATATCAAATAAAGTAGACTTCAAGCCAAAGTTAATCAAAAGGGATAAAGATGAACATTACATATTGCTCAAGGAAACCATACAACAACAAGACATAACAATCATAAATATATATGCCCCAAACAATGGTGCAGTTATGTTCATCATACAAATTCTTCTCAAGCTGATATTTATTTATTTGTAATTAATAATTTAT